GTACATAGTCCCAAGAAACTTCTTAATTCTCCCACATTGTTGGCCAATCACGTACTGCTCTCACCTTGTCAGGATCAGTTCGCACACCATGCTCACTTACAATGTTACCAAAGTAAAGCACCTCTTTCTGGAACAAGTGGCATTTCTTGGGATGGAGCTTAAGGTTTGCTTCTTTCAAACGCTTGAATACTTCCTCTAGCTGTGACATTTCCTCATCAAATGTTGTTGCAAACACAATGACATCATCCAGGTACACTAGGGCTATTCTCTATTGTAGGCCTTCCAGTACCCTTTCCATCAGCCTCTCGAATGTTGCTGGAGCATGGCTAAGCCCGAATGGTATCACACGATATTGCCAGAGACCTTGGCCATAACTAAATGCAGTCTTAGGTTTATTTGCTTCAACCATTTTCACTTGATGGAAACTGACTTTAAGTCCAGAGTAGAAAACCACCTGGCTCCACTTAGGGCATCAAGAGTATCATCAGTTCTTGGCAGTGGGTATGAGTCCTTTTCGGTTATACTGTTAAGAGCCCTGAAGTCCACACAGCAATGTTGGGTCCCATCCTTCGTCTGGACTAACACGACGGGAGCTGACCAGGGACTATCTGATTTCTCAACTATCCCTTCTTCAATTAGGCCATCCATGACTTTCTCCATCTCTTGTTGCTTTGCCGGAGCTATTCTCCTCAGAGGGATTTTTATTGGACAGTGATTGCCTGTGTTTATTCTGTGCTCCACAAGGTCTGTGCAGCCGAGGTCATGATCTCCTTTTGAAGAGCCTGTGATGATAACTCATAGAGGCCAGTTAATTGTTCTGGGAGAGGATGTCCTTTCTTTATGGTTGTATATCTTGCCTTAACATTGACTAGCTCTACCATTCCGGCACACACCCAACAATGCCCATTCCTTAAGTGTCTGCTCACATTTAGAGAAATTAGCCACTGTTATGGGTACTACTTGATGACCTGCCACAAATGACCTTCCAATATTCACGTCTGCTGACCTGGATGGGTCTTCCACTGCTTCCACAAGTATCAGGCTTCCTTGGGGATGTTCTTTTATTCTACCCCAATTTATCTTCTCTGACATAGGGGGTATTGTAGTTGACTTAAGTGCTGTGACATACAAATCAACAGATGCAGCAACACTTACCGGAATTTGGCATTTGTTATTCCCAAACGTCAAGTCAAGTTAACCACACACTTCTTTGGTAGTAAGTAGTCCAACCCTAATATGCATGGGTCTTCAATGTCAGCCAAATATACCTTGTGTCTGTCTTTTATGCCCATGAGCTCAATACTTACCAACACTGGTCCCCACAACCTTGCATAATGTCCTGTCACACCACAGAGCCTCTGTATGGCTTCTGGTACTCCCTTGTGATCCAGCACCTTGATACTCACAAGGGTTTGCTGAGATGCAGAATCTTTGACAAAGTTGCACTTTTGGCCATTCGGCTTTCCTGTCACGTAGACACTATGTGTGCTTGCCATTTTACAATTAGCGGTTGGGACTTTCACAATTTTCACAATGGGAGTTGGTGTGCATCCCTGATTTGCAATTCCAGATGCTGATTGGTTTGGACAGGATGAATCTACCACATGTAGTTTGACCTTTCCAGCTGGGAGCATTTTTCCTACTGCTGCCTAGATGTTAATTTCTGGGTGTGTTTGTGTTGGTTGAAGCTGGACCAGCTAACATCAGCTTTCATATATATGGTTGGGCTGGGTTCCTCCTCCTACCATGGACTGGATGATATAGTTCCAGAGTCACACGGTTTTGGACTGGAGTCCACTCTTCACATTGCATTCCACCTTCCTTCCGTTACCTAGACGTCAGTTTCGCGGGTGGCTGGTGTTGGTTGTATAATAGGTTTGCACATATGGGCTACCTTGGGTTCTCAGAATGGATATCTTCTTTCCCTTCTAGTTCATGGGCTCGAGTTGAAGATGGCCCATACAATCCATTCTCAGTGCCACTGGTTTTGGACTGGAGTTGATGCATCAGTTACAGTCTGATGTGCTCTAGCCTCTCTACACTACTGGCATATCACTGTGATTATCAGATGTGCCCCCTTTCTACCCATTTAGCAACACAATCATTCATCAATGGCAAGAAATATACCTGGTTCAGATGTGGTGCAGTCTCCCACGTATGTGTTTCCTCTTCATCAAGATGTAACACTCCATTGGTTCTCTTCAGACATTTTCTGAAGGGTGCTCTCTTTGGTACTTTTGCAGTGGTCCCTTTGTCAGGTCAGTATGGGATTTTATGTGAGAAGATGTAAGGTATCATATCAGAATTTATAATTTTTTCTACACTTCAAATACATTTTTTATAGATACTTACCTCCACTCTTAGTTCCTATCCTTCCTTTGAACTTCTTGTGCTTCTTCGGTGCCTAGTATTGGAATGAAGAATGGGTTCTACAGCATAGAGGGATTCAGCTGCATTAGGAGGGTATGTCACACTCATGATGGTGGACACTTGTCTCATGTATCTATTGGAAAACAGTTGTAGTGTAGGAAAATTATAACTTTAGGAGGTTATAGAAATGTGAAAATTCTAAGATGAAGATCATCTTGCACTCAGTCTAGTCAGAGTCAGACTATCTCATTAAATTCACAGACAAATCTTTTGTAAAAATATCTTATTAAAAATTCTGATTTTTTATGTATTAGTACTTGTAATGTTTACTAAAAGCTTAACAAATTTCTTAAAGATATACTTAGTAAATTTGGAATTATAGTAAACATTCCTGTGTATCTTCGGTATAACTTCACAGAAACTGGGTTTGAAACCTAATTTGAAACCACTTTAAATACATTATGAGAGTGAGTAGGTTTCACTAATGCAGCAAAACTGTTTAATAAAGGTGCTTCTAAGCACTATATTGATATGCAATTTTATATTAAACTGGATACATCGTTTTTTAATATTTTAGGAGAGAGTGTATACTTGTTATACATTTCGCTAAAAGTGAATAATTTGTTCATTATTGCAGCACCCCCTGTTTTTATTCAGAAGCTTGGAGATGTGCAAATCAATGAAGGAGAAACTGTATCATTTACAGTAAAAGTTATGGGCAAGCCAAAACCTTCCCTGAAATGGTAAGTAGCTTTTAGCTTATCATTATCTGTGATGCAACTGTTAATCACTCTTCCTAATTTAACCCTATTGCCCCGGGTACCCTTTACTGCTCATGACACAAGGTTTTAGTGTCTTACATTTAAAATTTTATTAAACCACTTTTTACTTATGTCATACCAATTAAAATAGCATAAAATCTTAGCTAATAATCCATATATTAATAGTATACAAGTTTTAAGTTCTTAATTCTACAAGGCAATATTTAAAAAATCGTGAATTTCCACTAGTGTGACACACATGATACATTTTGTCTTAGCATGTCATCATCCCTATTTTATCCATCACCCCTCAAATGTATGAAATTAAACGTAAATTACTCTCTATAAAATCATTATTGCTCAGACAAACCATAATTTTTATAGCCTTCAATTTTGTTTGGTTACAGAGCTATTACATAGAAAATCAGACCCCTCATGCCACACCCGCCTGTCACATCCTCTCTTTCACAATTCGATGATAGATCTCTCTTACGTTTCATTATATATTACTTATAACCAACAGAATATCGTTACTTTCACTTAGAGTAGCAACATTGTTTCCATGGGAGAGTTAATGACTAGCTATGATGAATTTGTAATGGCTCTTGTTGCATAGTTAGAAAGCCAGAAAATGTTGAGAAGTATGGGAATTTGTCTACTTTTTGCATGTTATTAGTCTATATTCTTTGGTGCATTATTGAATTAAATAAAAAGTATTAAGTCATTACTATAAAAAATCAGGCTTAACTGCCCTCAACAGTCAAGGGCAAGTAAAAATAAAATTGGGTAAGTACTTTATTTCCTGTTTTTCATATTTATTATTATAAAAGTGATTAAAATATAAAAATATAGATCTTTTAAAGTTATTTAAGACTAGATTAGGTAAAATAAGTAATAATAGTATAATTAAAATGGTTCACGAGAGCAGCTTGTGGGTAATGTAATTCAATAGCATAAAATAAATTGCACATTCCCCGAGTTTTTTACAATTTATAATGGTGCAGATAGTAGTTAAACATGGTTCAAAGGGCAAAAAATTTAATTATAAATAGATGTATACTGTTATGCACTTAGAGCTACTTAGGATAAACAAATGTAGTTTCATTCATGTTATAACTTGAAGTCATTCTAGAAAGAAAAAAAAGGGTAATTTAGGTTTATTTCGATTATTTTTTAGTGGTTACAAGGTCAAAAAATTGACCAATCTCTTTTTGAGATAGGGTGGAGAAAATAACAGATAAACTATAAAGTTTTACTGAAAAAAACGTTTGAAATGCATTTAGGTTTTAGGGATTACACAAAGGAAATTTGAGATGAGGAAAAGTATTTCTAATTTTAACATGAAAATTACTTTGCACATGGACTATTCAAAACAAATACTTAATATATTAATGGGCAAATCTTTATTTTATTTTATTTAAAATACTTCACTAAAAATATGATTTTTTGTGTGTGAAAGACTTGTAATATTAACTGAAAGACTGCCAAATTTTGTGAAGATGTACCCACTATATTGAAAGTTATAAGTATTAAATCTATAAAGTCTTTAAACGAGTACAAAAAGGTCACGTGGTCAGTCAAAATGACCGAGCATGTATTGAGAGAATTAATATAGTTAGGCTACTGTTTGTGGATCTCCAAATAATATGGCAGATTAGATATTTCAACCATAAGGATATTTTGCAAATGTTAATTCTTTGAACATTATAATTTTGGAAATATATGTATATATTTTGTCTTTTACACTTGAAACATATTTTTTATGTTCTGTACAGGTTTCAAAATGATACTGAAGTCACTATTGATGGAGAGCATTATAAAACAAAAGAAGAAGCTTCTGACACATTTACGCTAATAATTAATAAATGCACAAGAAATGATATTGGACAATTCTCTTGTGAAGCTAGCAACACATGTGGGAAAGTTACTACCTGTGGAAAACTGAGCATCAAAAGTTAGTATCAGGAAAATAGTTGAGGACATTACAAACATTCTTATAAAAATATAAAGAAAGCAAATAAATATGTTATATTAAAATGAAAAGCTATTAGTAGCTTGATAGTTATTATTAATATGTAGTTGAGGATAATATATCAGGTGCATAATTCGAAATTACAAAATATAATAAGAATAATAATCACTTTTTTTTACTAGTTAGTCCATTGGAATTTGTTTATAGATTTTTGAAATATATATCTGGTTAATTACTTGTATATTTCCACTAAAGGTAATTAACATATTTCTACAAAGGACTAACAATAAAAGTTTAATGAAAATAAGGATTGGTCTTATTTTGTGACAAATTAATAAAAAACTTCTAAATTTTATTCATGGATTTAGCACATAAAAACAATACATCATTTACTATGTAAGAATAACTTACAAACCACCAGAGTAAGACTTTACATAAAACACTAAGTCCATATGTTTGTAGACCTACAGTGAAACTGTCATTGTTTCTATAGTAGTCTGAATATTTTTGAACAAAGACTTCTTAAATCAAGTGAATATGGTAAATGTCAATGGGATTAACAGGAATGTTATAGAAATATGTTCTGGAATGATTCCAAACCCTATATACATATTTTGTTCAACTAAAGTTTTAAGTGTACTAGCTCATCTCTATATTATATTTAAATAAATTTTCACAAGGAATATCCAGTCATTCATCCTGTGCATAATGTTTAATAAAATCCTCACTAGGTGTTCAATGTTCATCTGCACATGGGAAGGGTAATACCTGTGGAAAACTTAGTATCAAACATTAATATCTTATAGCTTAAAAAATTAGTGAATACATTTTAAATCCTACATAATAATAATAAATAAATAATAAATTTATTCAAGCAATTAAATTTTTATCATTGTCGAATATAAACATCACATAAATCATGTGCAGCAAAACTTTTTTTTTTAATTTCTGCCCAAAGCCACACAAGGTCTATCTGTGCATAGCATACCTTGTTTTGAACTGATAGACTCTATGGAAGACATCTAATCTAATCTAAGCACCTCTGCCCGCTCTTGGACCACTCTTATCTGACTCTTATCCTATCTAGACCATGACACTATAGCCTGCGTATGACCCCAAAGAAAGCTACTTGATCTGCTTTTGAAAAACCTATATTTTGTTAACAATGAATTGAAATATACATTTTGAATTTACATTTTCAAAAGATTGATATAATATCCTTTGTTTTTTTATTATATTGATTTTTGTCTGTAAAGGTAAACCTATATTTCGGAAGAAACTGGTAGATATGGAAGCTCGAGAAGGTGACACCAATGTTCAGTTTGTGGTAGAAGTGGAAGGAATACCAAAACCAACCTTGATATGGTAAGTTTTCTCTTTGTTGATTAATTTGAAATTTGAAAGTTTTTATTTAATTTATTATTAAGAACATCTGACAAAAGTAAGCTAACTGTACAGATCAGAGCTAAAATAATTATATATTAATGTGATTATTATAGTACAATGGTTCTCAAACTATTCCACTCTTAAACTCTTATATTAAAAGTGCTGGCCTTCATTATTGCCAACAGCAACTCGTTTCATAAGTCAATCACCCTGTTAGAAAAATAAAACTATTAATTGAAGTCTAACTTGTATTTTCAAAATTTTAAACTTGTGTCTCTCATCCTATTATCAGAGGCCATTTTAATATTGATCCCTGAGATAATCTTGCAAATTTTAATAAGCTCACTTCTTTTCCCAAATGAAAATAAGTTAAAGAGATCTTAACCTATCTCTGTAAGATAACCCATCCCATGAATCATCTTAGTAGCCCTTCTCTGAACCCTTTCCAATAAGTCAGTATCCTTTCTTGGATAAGGAAAGCAAAACTGTAGATAATTTTCTAAGTGAAGCCTAACTAGTGATTTGTGTAGAGCTTGGAAATTAGTGATATTTCCCCTCTCCCCTGTACAAGCAAAAAATAGGAACAAAAATGTTGTTAGTGCAAGCACTGCATTATTCTAACATGGTATTAATCTATTTTAATTCACATTGTTTTGGGTTTTTTCAAGTAATTCTCGAATTATTCTTGATATCATATAGACCTCTTTTGATGGTCATCATTTGTGCATTTTCTAAAAAATTAATTTTTTTGCTTAAAAATTATTTTGCCACAATGTTTTTTTCTAAATAGTCTGGACATTTTGTACTTGGCAAATGAATTGCTAACATTGACTAGATACCACCATGAGGTCACCATTTTATATATTTTTTAAATATGCAGTAATCCCACACTGCTCTTTTGTAAATCAAATAAATGTGTACTTTAAAAACTCAGAGCCATTCTATGAGCTGCTGTGCAGCAGCTTAAAACCTCATGTTTTCAGACAATGCAACTCAGTAAAGTATAGTATATCTATTAGAAAGTAAATTCAGAATAATTTTAAAAAACAACCTAACATCAACAAGATATCCTTATTAAGCCTTAAGTAATTCTGATATGATACCTTACTTCCTCTCACATGATAGCTTTTCTTGTTCAGTACTGCCCATATATGGACAAATTTTTCACTTGATACTCCCACCTGCCCCATGTGTTTAGCATGGTACAGCTGCATTGTAGCATGCAAATAAGCATGTCGCAACCCTCCACCAATAGGAGTGCGACACTCTTTCCTGGCACAACTGGTTCTTTCTATACTGTAGAACCCAATCTTCACTTGTTGATTTAGCGCATTCGAGTGCAGATGTGTTTAATTTCACTTGTTTTTACTTTTTCTTTTATGTTTATCTTAATTTGTACAAAAGATGACTTGGTTGTTTTCCGTTAAGCTTTATTATGTGATAGTTTGTGGATTGCATTTGTTTTACTCACTCATGTTTCTCTTATTTGATTTCACAAACTTGTATTACAACTACTGCTTTGTGTGTAACACTTACCACTGTACAACAACTGTCATTTCTATGGCTCCAGTATCTCAGGGAGGTGGTTTCAGCCTTCTTATATCGCAAATTGGATTTTATCTTTCAGCTTGCTAGGTTTCCTTTATTGGGGTCAGATGTACCACTCCCTGATGTATCTGGTTTAACTGTTGATGTTTAGGACAGCTTTTTATCTTCTCCTTTCCTTGCCGTGCAGTCAAGGACTAAGCCTATGAATGTTCCCACATTTTTCATCAACCATTCTTCTATGTAATTTCCCAGGTATGATATCTTTAGTCTGCTTGTCAGTTTATCTTTCCTATATGGATTTCAGGGTCCATGCTGTTTACTTCATAACCCAGTTACTTTATGGAATCTACATTCTTTCCTGGACTCTCAAACCTTCGAGTCTTTCATTCAGGCATAGGAATCAAACCCTGAAAAATACTTTTCACCAGCCTAGCTTTCCCGTTTTTGTCTACCCTTTGATCCATCCTTTTCCTCAACACCTCTTCTTACCATATCTATCCACTGGGCCCCGTGGGGTTTTTGGGGGTGACTCATTCCCTCCCTTTCTTTCTCCACATTTGTCCCTTTATACTTGGTTTTTCTGTTGGTGGGATCTTCTTTGTGGTGCATACTGTTTTCTCTAGGGCATCTCTCTCCTATAATTCCTCCTTGCCCTTCATTTGGTACCATAAATTACACCTTCCTGTGTGTGGGGGGGCCTTCCAGCCCTGTTGGAATCTTTGTGTCAATTTTCCTCCTTACTCTTTGACTTTCACAACCCTAATATGCCCCATTACTGTGTCACGCCCTCCTCCATCCTCCCTTTTCACACGTCCTCCTTTCCAGGTTTCGGGAGTGTCTTGCTTCTATGGCACACATTTACTGTAGATATTTGGATGCTTAATGTGAGGATAGGACTTACACTTCCCCATACTACACTCCACACAGACCTTTTCCTTACCTTCTTCTCAAGATCACTTTTTTTTTGCCTACATCTCTTGGAAATGGTATGTGTTCTTCTCTTCTTCCCAGTCATTTACCTTTATCCGGATTTCTATTCGCCGTTATTTGTCATTCCTTATTCCAATATGTTGGTCATTCTGTAATTATTCTCTATTCTTGCCCATTTCATCAACCTTCATAGGTTCACTTTGGAGTTTTTCCTCGCTCTTCAATGAGTTTTCATTCTGGGTGATTAGATGACCAAGGCGGATGTCTCGGATGCTTCCCTTCACATCCTTAATTTCCTCTGCATTCCAGCTTTGCCTTCATTCTTGTCCTCAGTGGGGACAGGTCTTTTAATCCTGCACTTTACCATTGGGTTTGGCTGCAACTCCTTATGTTTCTGTTGGGTGGTCAAGGCCTTTGCCTATCTTCCACATTCCCACAGTTTATGGTTCCTTCATTGCATGGAAGACTTTGGCTCTGTCGATACAGGCTTCTTGCACTCACATATTCTTCTTTTAGAAAGCCACACATTTGGGTTGCTTTCTTTAGTTGGAGATGTCCTTCCCGATCCTGACTCAGTACCTCATACTTCTCAAGGTTTTCTTTAAAACATACCTCAGTTGGACCTAGCTTTCTATATTTCAGTTGTGATTGATAGAGCTAATGGTTTTCCATGCTGAATCCTTTTCTTTGTTCACTTATAATGAGGTTATCTTGCTTTTGAGGACTTGGGCTTCCATGAAAGTCCCTTTTTTCCCTTGGGTCATGCTCACTTGCATGACATTTAGTGGCTATTGCAGGACATATAGAATCTCGTTCAGGATCTCTAAGATTCTGTTTTCATCTTCCTTCTTTCTCTACAAGTTGATTTTGCCTGGTGGTTCTACAGGGACTTCACTGTGGCTGGTGTTCCTTTTCCATCTCCCTGTCCCATGTTGTACCTTTTACCCAATATATCTCTCACAGATTGGAAGACATATATGGACTCTCACTAGATCACTGGTATTCGATTGAGTCGGGGGTCAACATCACTCATTTGGAACATCTTGCATTTCATTGGGTTTTGAATCATTTCCTCCTATTCATATAGGCAGGTTGGTCTAGTTTCATTCTCAATATTCTAACCATTGTGTCTTTCATCTATTTACAAGAGGGTATCCATTCTTGTTTACTTTGTTTTGAAACACTGAATCTCCTTCTCTGAGTCCACTCCTTGCACATTCACCTGTTGGTTTGTCACTTTCTGGGTGCTCTCATTCTTGTTGCAGATCAGTTATCTCATCCCAAAGAGATTCTCCCTGCAAAATGATCCCCAGGTTCTCCACTACTAGTCAAGTTTGACACCCTTTCACAGTCAAACTCCTGCCATTCTGATCCCCAATGGTTCTAGCAGTGAATGCCTTTGGTCTGGATTGGGCTGATGATTAATGATACTCCTACCCTCCTATCTGTCTCCTTTTCTGGGTTTTTTCTGTCATCCAAGCCACTACGTGTTGAGTCTTATCATTGCCCTGTTATAGCCTGCACAACTGTTGTTCCCTGTTCTTCCACTGCTTCAGCCATCCCACTTATTACTTCTTCTTCTATCTGCTCCCTTCTCCTCTGGTGTCAATTGTCGGTATTTTATCCTGCCTTAACTGCACACTGACATCATGCATGGCTTTTGTTTGGTCCTTTGTGGGGTGATCCAGACTTTCTGCAGGTGTGCCATTCCTTAACTCTCATTTGGTCTACCCTTCTTCCTTGGTGGTCTGTAAGAGAATATAATGTCTTCTGCCAATGGTCACTATGTTTAGTTGCCTTGAAGTTCTTGCATTCTTCACATTCCATACTTTTCCCTGGGTTGTTTGACAATGATCTGTTTGTTTTGACCATTGCTAACTATGTGGTGGCCTTATCCTCTACCTTCTTTTTTTTTTCCCAGTCTCACCCTATTTTTTCCTCTCATGTCATATCCCTCTTGTTTTGTCCTTTTTGTGTCCTCTATTCTTCCTTGCCCTCTTACCTTTCAAGAATGGAATCTCAGCATCATTCTCTATGCCCTTAACCAGTTTACTTTTGAACCATTGGCTACCTGTTTTTTATTTCACCTACTTTGCTCGGTTTTGTCGGTGGTCATCATAAGTCAGATGTGTTCACTCTCCATGTGTGATATATCCGTTACCATTGTGTTTTCCTTCATATAACCTCAGCTGGAACTCCTTATCCTATTGCCACTTGGATGTTGGTTCCTGGGTGATCTGGTGATTAGAGCTGGACCAGCCAACATCAGTTCTCACACATGTGGTGGTAGGGAGCCTTCAACCTACCATGGCCTGGATGATGAATTCTCAATGCTTCCAGGTTATGGATTTCAGTGAAATGTCACATTGCACTCCCCCTTCCTAGCGTAGCCTGGATATTGACTAAATGGTGCTGGTTGTCAAGACAGAATCTGTTTTCCCTTCTGCTTCCTTGTCTTGAGGTGAAAATGGTAAGGACCTTCCTTCTACTGTGAAAATACA